ATAGCAGGGAAATTCCTTCCTGGAAAGGGCTGTCAGGCCCTGGAACAGGCTGCCCAGGGAGGCGGAGGAGTCACCACCCCAGGAGGGATTTAACAGTGCGGACGCAGCGCTCAGGGACACAGGTTCGTGGTGGCGTTGGCCGTGTTGGGTTAAGGCTTGGCCTCGATGATCTTAACGGTCTTTTCCAACCAAAACAATTCCACGATTAAGGAGGAGGTTGTTGCAACGCCGACGCACCCGGAGTACAACCGCGTAGACGCCCCGACTCACCTGCCGCGAGCACTGCCGCTCCCGCATGGCTTTGAGGCTGCCGTTCCAGTGCAAAAGCTGGAAGACCGTCATCAGCTCCTGCAACAGCAAGAGGGGGTCAGGCCGGAGCCAGCGAGGGGGGCGAGGGTTCGGCGCCCCGAGAGCTCAGGCTAGATTCCGGCTACGGGAAGGAGAAGCCCGGAAGGATCTCGCAAGGATCTCTGAGCACGTTTGCAACTCCGGAGCCCGTAAACTGAAGGGTTCCAGCGTTAAGGAATTCAGAGTTATCCCAAAAGACAAGAAGCAGGGGGGGAGGCGGAATGGCATCGCCAACACCCCAGGAGCCGGGATGCCAGGGCAGAGCCCGGCTCACCCCACTACACCCAAATCCCCCCACCAGTGGGTTACGGAGGAGCCGGAGCCGCTGACGCTTCGCTCCACCCGTGGGATTTCAGGATTCTCCAAGGCTCTGCCACCCCCACGCTAAACCCCCAGCCGGAGCGGGTGACAATCCGGTTTTCCAAGGGAAGATTTCTCCCTCCAAGCCACACACATTCCGCCCCGTGGACTGGTTTGGCTTCCCAAACACAGCCCGAGGAATACGCACGCTGCGTAAACAGGCCGCGAACATAAACACTCCTGTCGCCCGCCGGCTGCCCGTTTCCATTCAAGGGAAACGAGCCAGGCAAGGAATCCGCTCCGGATCGTTCCGAGCTACTTTTGAAGCCCGAGTTCTAATTAAAAGGATTCAGGAACCTCAAAGCACCATCCAAACGGGAACAGACATCCCGACGAGGGCAGCTCCCACTGCTCTAACAGCCTCCTTTACCTGGCAGCTTCCTCGGAAAGGTTGGAATAAAGCCCAGGAGAACCTCAGCTCATGGGTTCGTGACCAGGCGTCGCGGCCAATTCCCTCGGCAGGCCGTGCCCTCAGAGCGCCCCAAATCCCGAGGGGTGTCCCAAGAGGAGAGCCCCGCTTGTATGTTGAAGGTTCGGCGCTGGAGACGTCGTTGGAAGATCAAACCCACCCCCCAAACGGTGGGATTAAACCGAACGGTACCTGGAACTCCAGCATGGATTTTCCCTTGTTGGATTCCAGCATGAAGCGGAAAGCGCCGATCCCGGTGTTGGGATTATCAGCTTCCTCTCGATTGCCCTGCAAGAGCCGGTTCATATGAGAGCTGCGACCCCCACCGGAGCGCGGCTCCCCTTCTCCCTGCTCCGCTTGGTCAAAATCCCGCCGGAAACGGGATTCTTCCCACAGCCCACGAGGTGATTTCGCAATACCCCGGGGTACCATTGGGCGCCGTGTGACGGCACAGCGCAGACTCCCTCCGGGATAAGGTGTGATTAGGGCAGTAAAAGGAGAATCCAAAGCTCCGGCTGTCAGAAACGTCACGCGTCTGGAAACTTTGGGTTTAAAGAGAAACGGCCCATGTGACAACCCGGGCACAGAGAGGCCACGTGAATCCATGGATTATCCATCCCTGCCCAGTCGGGAGAACTTAGAGCCCCTTCCAGTGCCTGGGGGGCTACAAGAGAGCTGGGGGGGCTTTTCCCAAGGGCAGGGAGTGACAGGACAAGGGGTGACGGGTTTGAACGGAAAGAGGGAGATGGAGATGGGACATCAGGAAGGAATTCTTCCCGCAGAGGGTGGGAGCACTGGGACAGGTTCCCAGAGAAGCTGTGGATGCCCCATCCCTGGGAGTGTCCAAGGCCAGGCTGGATGAGGCTTGGAGCAACCTGGGCTATGGAAGGTGTCCCTTCCCATGGCAGGGGGACTGGGGGGGCTTTAAGGTCCCTCCCCACCCAACCCATTCCATGATTTATGATTGGAGGGTGGCACAAACTCGGAAGGGTGTGAGGCTGGGGGTGGTGGAGCAGGAGAATGAGAATTACAGCCATAATGAAAGGTTTATACTCAGAAATCACTGAAAAAAACCTGCCACAAGGAGTCCCAGAAGTAAAAGAAACCATTTCTCCCCACAATTTGAGTTTTTCCCCCCATCGACCCATTCGGGCACCCCAAAAACCTTACGTTGAAAGACGCCAGGGCCTCCGAAACGCTCTTCTCGATGAACTCGTCGGTGATCCTCCGCGAGGGATGCTCGTTAAAGACCGAGTTCATCAGCGCGATCTTCGCAGCGCTCCTTCGGGCTTCAGCCTTGGTGGGGCAGAACTGAGGAGAGACCCAAACGCCCTCAGGACACGAGGATGGCGAGACAACCGAGATCCCTGCGACCCCGAGCATCCCACCCCCGAACACCCGGAGCGGGAATTAGGTGGCAGCGTTGTGTCGTTTGGGGAAAATCAGGCTCCTGAAATCCGCACCCTGAAGTCAGGAAACGCCCATCAGCTCGTTAACAAGATTAATTAGCGGAAAACCAGGAGGTAAGAGCACAAGGACTGCTCTTCGGGATGGGCGGAGCGTGCTGGGACGGTTTCTTTGGGATACGGTTTCCAAACCAAGACAGACACCACCCAAAGCCACGACAGCGAAGGAATCCGAAACGCTGCCGGATCCGTTGTGATTCTTGGAGCTCAACCCTTCGGGTGAGGTGTTTGGGTTGGACATTTTCCTTTTCAACAGGAAGGGGAAGGGGGAAAAACTACTGATCCCATGGTATGATTGGAGTTTTTTTGCCTTCTTGAGGTTCTGGGTCAAATCCAGAGCCCTTGGTGGGAAACATTCCTCTATCAGTTTGTCCGAGCTGCATCCTTGACACGTATCCCGCTGTTTAACCCCGGGAAGGAGCATCCCATCAGCAAAACGGGCCAATCTCCCGTTTTTCGGCCACCGCACGCTGCCGAGCTCGGAGGCGGACGCGTAGGGAGCACCATACGGGCAGCGCGGTGAAAACCTACAGCCAAACCTTCCCGGGATTTCCAGGCACTGAGGAACATTAACAACCCGTTTGGGACGTGAGAGGGTCCCCCTCCCGCTGCCAAAAACG